CTTCTAGAACATGGCCACACAGCCCGAAAAAACCCACAAAAAAACTGTATACTGTACTTCCCACTCCATTAAGGCCACTGATTTAGCCAAAGGAAGCATCCAAGCTCAGTGCTATTGGCACACATTCATGTTGAGATGAGACATACCAAAATCCTAATACTGTAGATATTTTCGTGGTCCCCTCCCCAATGGCTAATATACTACAGAAATAAAATGTGAATCAGGCCTTCACTTTCTACATGCAAGAGAAGTTAACATGAATGTATATTTTAAGTCTTTCTCTCTCTCTTTTTCATTTTTTCTTTTCTTTTCTTTTTTGTATTTCTGGATGCTGCAATTGGCCTAGAGGGCTGACAGAAGAACAGAGTAAAAGTGAACAAGCCTTCAGTTGCTTTCTGGAATCTTAACTGCACAGAGCACACCAGCTGTTTTTTAGCATTTCTACATAACCATCACAACCAAGAGTTTGATATTTCTAATTAATGAAGGATGACTCTTCATATTTTACTTTCTTAAATGGTATTTGCTTTTTATACCTACATTGTGAAACATACATTTTTTTCAAACAGGGAATCTATGGGTTCAGGTAGCACTCAGAAATCATGAGTGTGAAAACAAAAAATATATTATAGGCACAGGAAATGGGCAAATGTATTGCAGCAATGAGAAAGAGAAAAAGAGAGGAAGAGAGAGAGAGCGAAAAGATGGGGGGAGGGCAAGAACATAGTAAAATAGAACTTTAAAAGCAGTGCATGTTTTCTGAGAGGTTATGAAACCAGTTATGACATTTAATTACTAGAGACTACTTGTCATTTCCTTTTTAATAGTTAAAACTGTGCATCAAGCTAAGACAGCAGTAGTCCACAGAGCCCTTCCTTTGGTATGCTCTGACTGAGCTCAACATCTGTTCAGCCGAGGCTTTAAGGATCATAATCAAATTTCCCAGAAGCAAAACCAAATAAAGTGTTTTAGTTTTCAGCATATTTTTGCCAAAAGGGTCACCTATAGACCCATTATATCTTTCCATATCTGTTTCCCTTCCATGATTTACTTTTACTAAATAACCAGAGATTATATGTAATATTAAGGAGTCAGAGCAACTTAAGGCCATATTCGACTTTGCTGAAAGCCAATTTGTCAAGGGAAAAAGTAAATTTTGGTACTTGCTTTCAAATCCTGTGGAACCCTGAACCAAATTTGCAGATGTGCAAGTACAGTTAGCAATTTAGTCGAAGCAAGTTCCACTGAATTCAATGGGATTTATTCCCAAGTAAGTGTACTTAGGATTTCCTCCCTATACAATTCAAGAGCACTAACAGACCTCTATCAACCAGAGCTCTATTTAGCACATGATGCAGCCATCTTGCACCTGAGCACTATTTGGAGGTAAAGTCATCTGGGGAACTCATAAATGCTGTCTTGAGCTCTATAAGGAAAGAAAGTGGGGTTTAAATGTACTAAAACAGCAATAATAAAAGCAGCGACTCCTCCTTGGGTGTGAAATATACTAAAGGAGATAGTATTACAAAACAATGATTGCCACTGCGAATAAAGCATTTCATGGCCCTTGGGTTCTAATGTTTTCAGTTTTTCTTAGAGCTCATCTATAGCTGCTAAATGAGGATAACACTTCACATATCTAATACAAAAAGGTAAAAGTATGCCCCATTGACAAGGTTGTCATGTCTGACCGTAGGGAGCAGTGCTCATCTCCGTTACTAAGCCAAACAGCCAGCGTTGTCAGAAATTACTCTGTGATCATGTAGCCAATATGATTGCACTGAATGCTGTTTACCTTCCCACCAAAGTGGTACCTATTTATCTTCTTGCATTTGCATGCTTTTGAACTGCTAAGTGGGCAGAAGCTGGGAATAATGACAGGAGCTCACCGCATCATGCAGCATCTGGGCCTCGAACTGCCAACCTGCCAATCTTGCAATCAACAGAGTCAGTGCCTTAACCACTAATACAAATGGGCTCACAATATCTTTGTCAGAGGACTGATGTAGTTACAGATCAAGGATGTGAATTGTGCTTCTGCCATAAAATTAACTTAAGGAAACCACTCTCAGGGCCTTATCACATTGCAAAAGGAAGGTGGGAGGAAGCGAGATAGAAGCAACTTTTTGCTTACTTTCCCACATGCACACAAAACACTTCTGCTTTACTGCTGTGACAATTGTAAACACATGCCCTTTGTCCTGCTGGAAAAATCTGTT